GCGCAGGACACGGGCCCAGGACCCCTGGACAGCCCAGGGGGCGTGGCAGTCCTCGCGGCGATGGCGGCGGCCAGCGTGGATAAGCCCAAGGATGTGCTGGGCCCCCATGGGGCGAGAGCCGCGAAGCTCAACGCGGGCAAGGGCTTCCCGATCTTCCCGATCTTCTCTGTCTCGGCCTACATGGTGGACAGCATCGGGGCCGCAGGAGACAGCACTGCGCTGCTCGAGGCCCTGCAGTCTTGGGTTGGAGGCCTTGAGTGGCCGTGGGTCATCCTGGCGGACTGGGACATCGAGCCCGACGACTTGGCCAGCTGGGCAAAGCAGGCCTCAGGAGTGCTCGTGCGTCCCCGGTGCCCAACTTGCGGCATGCGCGAGTACGACTACGCCATAATGTCTGGGGCACTCGCCAGTCGTGCTGGCGCGGTCAAGAAGCTGAGCGACGCCACGATCTCGCCGCGCTCGCCGACCGCCATCGAGCTAAAGGGCCTGCGCCAGAGGGCCACGGTCACCAAGGCGGTCCACTCCAGTCGGTACCCGCTGGCCCTGCCACCTCCTGCACAGGCAGCGCCGCCTGAGCTCGCTGATGACGAATGGCCGCGGCGCCTGGGGGCTGGACCTACTGACGTGGAGGGCGCCTCCAAGTTCTGGCGCGCCCTGGCAGAGGACTGCCTCGACAGGCTCCACCAGCTGGACGGTCACAAGCGTAGCAGAGTGGCCAGAGACAGAGGCCTGCAGGTGGAGACAGTTCATCTGGTCCAGGTGTGGGAGGACACGCTGAAGGAGACGACCTGCGCGGAGTACCGCAAATGGGCAGGCCTGCTAGCGTCTTGCAGGAAGGCGGCCGCCCTTCGAGGACACCAGCTGGACAGCGGCTGGGTCAGCTACTCCCGCTTCGAGCGCCAGGTCCGCTTGGTGCGTGCGTTCGAGTTCGACAAGGCGGAGTGGCCGACCTCTGGGCCGCTTGCTGCATGGGGCCAGCATGCCATTGCGCACGCGTTCCAGGAGCTGGACTTGCACGACTACCACGCCCTCCTGGTCGACCCCCACGACCGCGTAGCCTCCATCCAGAGGGGGGACAAGGCCATGCGTAGTAAGGAATGGAGAGAGTGGGCACAGGAGGCTGCCACCAAGTCAGGAGGCCAGCAGGCATATCGCTTCGCCAAGGACGGCAGCTTGATCCCGTCGACGGTGATAGCGCACGAGGATGACGAGAGTGCCCCTGGCCTCCAAGTGGCAGGTGATGCCGCCATGAAGGTGCCGATGAAGGAGCGGGGGAACCTCTGGGTTCACCCTGACAGGGAAGGGGACTCAAACCCACGGCTCTGGGCGCGCGGCGAAGATGGTGCCTGGCAGGACCTCCCGCCCATCACCATGGACGCCCTGGACTACGTGCTGGCCTTCTACGGAGAAGGCGCAGGCCTCGGGCGGGACCGCCTGCGCCCACGGCAGTTTCGGTGGCTGCCGCGCCACTGCCGCCAGGCCTTCCTGGACATCGTGGGAGCCTGGGATGAGAGGCAGCCGACGCGCCGCTCGCTGTGGATGCTGCTGGTGGTCTTCCTGCCAAAGCCCCCGCCTAGTGGAAAGCGGCGCGTCATCTTGGCCAGCCTCTGGACTCGTGTCTGGTCGAAGCAGCGGCGGCCTATAGTTGCAGCTTGGGGGCGCAAGATCGACCAGTCCTTCCGCTGGGGCACCTCCGACCGCCCCTGCGACAAGGCCGGTTTCGTGCACGACATGACGACCGCCTTCGCGAGGAAGACTGGCATGGTGCCCAGCACTCTGGCGATCGATCTCACGAAGTACTACGACCAGGCGGTCGCGACGGAGTTCCCCATGGTGCCGCTCAGGGCCCACTGCTCGAGCGACCGCCCCCCGCGCCAGGCGATGCTGGGCAAGTGGGCCGGGCCCTTCAACAAGGCCAGCGGCGCCGCGGCTGCGGGCTGTTCGCGCGTGGTTGGAGTCGCCAAGCTGCTGACCTACACCCTGCTGCGCAGCATCGTCGGCAGGTGCCCGCTGGTGCGGGCCCAGAGCCTGGTGGCGACTGCCTCCTCCAGGCAGTTGGCGCGGCTCGCCTGGTAGGGCGCCAGCTGCCGCAGGCAGCCCGCGACCTCTTCGAGGGGCTCCAGCAGAGGCGCCTCAAGATCAACTGGGGCAAGACGGGGTGGATGGCCACAGATGCGGAGCTGGCTCAGGAGCTGGACCGCCGCTGGTCCGACCAGGGCCTGACCAGGACCTCTGGCATAAGATGCCTCGGTGGAGATGGCAGCGGCGGCAGCAGAAGGCGAGTCCCAGAGCGGGACAGGTGGCGCGCCCGAGCCAAGAGGGCAGCAGGCAAGATCGAGCTGCTGCAAGCCGCGGGGGCCAAAACGTGCCACATCTTCCGTGGCGCACCGTGCGCCGCGGCGCGCTGGTGCTCGGCGGTCACTGGCATCGCGGACGGCAAGCTGAACTGAGGGTGCACGCGCTCAAAGCCGAAGGCAGGGTGGCCCTCGGCACCTGCCTGGCCTTCAGGGTGCGCACCATGCCGCGGGCTGTGGTCCGGGACCCGTTCGTAGCCAATGCGGCGGATGTGGCCAAGGCGTGGTCCATCGGAATTCGTGACGGGCTCCTCCAGCAAGAATTTATCCGAGTGGGTCGCGCCGATGCCGCGCAGTTGCTGGACGTCGACAAGCCGTGGAACAGGTGCACTGACCCAGGCCAGGCCGCTGCGCTTAGCCTCGCCAGAGCTGGTTGCCAACTAGCTCGGCACAACTTGCTGCTCGATCATCGCCAGCGCGGGATGGACCTCGACTTTTTCTCGCCTGGCGCTGTCTGCCAGGTGGTCCGTGCCTCTGCCTGTGCCGCCTCTGATGCCACAGCTCTGAGGAGGCTTGGGAGTCCTTGGGTGTCGGAGGTCCACTGGGGGCGCGTGGTTGCGGCGCTGGCTAGAAGCTCAGAGCTGTGGACCAAGAGGCACGCCAACGCCTTCAGGTCTGTCAACTGCGGGGCCCACTGGAGCCAGAGCAGGCTTCACGCGAAAGGGAGAGCCACCCACCCGTTATGCGTGGAATGCGGGTCCGTGGGACCCTCTGGCACCGATGTTTCGATTACGGAGTTTCTCAAGGGAGAGTGTTGTCCGCCCGAGCTGCTCAAGGCGGCTCGCATTGCCAAAAGCGAGGGCGAGGAGTGCGGTGAATATTTTGCTAGGGGTCTTCTGCCCTCACCGTCGCATGTCTTCCACGATCGCGATATCCCCCAGGGGGATCATATCCGCTTCGTGGGGTGTATGCCTGGATGGCTCTTCGAGGGGGAGGTGCTTGTGGACGGTCCCTCGTTTTTTACCCAGCACGGCGGCCTACGTCGTATGGGATGGGCTGTCATCAGCTGCAACGATGGCGGCTCGTTCAGGTATGGAATGTATGGAGCTGTCCAATTGGCATGGTCTTCGACGCAGTCCTCTAGGGACGCGGAAGATTATGCGTTCCACATGTTGTCGCGATTCCCGGTCGATCCTGCCAGCGACGGGGCTCTGACAGTCTTCTCGGATTGCTTTGGGGCCATAGGCTGCGCGACGAACGCCTCGAAAGCGCTGAGCCTCATGAATCCCAACAGGCATGTTTGGGAAAGCTGGTGGCGGAAGCACGGTGACAGTGCGAGTGTGAAAACAAAGTCAAGGCCCATTCGTCGGCATCACAAGATGCCTCGTTCTTTGACGCGTGGTGCAGGCTTGGCAACTGTCTCGCGGACCGATGGGCGACAACGGGTGCCCTGCTCTGGAAGGTCCCCACCAGAAGGTCCTTTTTCACGGAAGCCCTGTGAAGACATTGCTGTCAAACTGGTTAGATGAATTGGACATGTGCACGAGTGGCTTGGAGACCACGAGGCCTGGAACACAGAGGGAGTGGTAGGAACCTCGGACGTTGTCCCAGACCTAGACTATGCCACCGACGATCGCGATGCTGCGGTCCTTGAGAAAGCCTTCCGGATCCGCGAGAGGCTGGACTGGAGGCTCGCCGCCCCCGCCCCGCCGCCGCCCGAGCCCGAGCCCGAGCCGATCGATGTGGGGGGCGTTGAAGTGGGGGTGATGTCTGGGGGGCCGTGGCTGTTTCAAAGGCACTCGGTGGTTAAATGCGACGTGGGGGGTCCCGACCACCCATGCTTGCTGTTTTGCAAGTCGTGCGGGGCCTCACTGGACCAGCGAGTGGTGCCTGGTAAGGGCATCGCGGGGGCCTGCATGGACCCAGAGATCCCGTCTCCGTCGGTTCCTCCACCCCTCGGCCCTCCATCCTCCTCCGCGGCCTTCTGCTTTTAGAGGCCCCGAGGACGAGGATGTCGAGTGGCTCCGGGGGAAGCTGGGGGGGGCCTGCTGGGGGTGTTGGGTCCTGTGGGAATTGGGCCTTCGCTGGGGCCCGCTGGCGGGCCCCCTGGGGGCCCTGTGGCCGACCGTTCTCAGGACCCCGCCAGCTTCCACCAATACGGGGTCTCGGCCCCCGTGCTGGACCTGGGGCGAGTTGCTCGCCTGCATGGGTTTGCCTCGCCCGATTCTGCGGTTAAATGGGCGCAGGAGTGCAGGCGGGCTAAGCGTTAGGCCGAGGCCACAGAGGCCTGGCCACTCGAGGGCGACTGGCCCCGTTCCAGCCGCGGTGACGGCAGGCGGACTCTTGTCCGCCCAACCCCATTCCATTTCATTCCTCCTCCTCCTGCTCCTCCTCCTCCTCCTCCTCCTCCTCCTCCTCCTCCTCCTCTCTCCTCTCCTCCTCCTCCCCCTCCTCCCCCCTCCTCCCTCTTCTCCTCCTCCCCCTCTCCTCCTGCCCCCCTCCTCCTCCTCCTCCTCCTCCTCCTCCCTCCTCCTCCTCCTCTCTACTCCCCCTCTTCCTCCTCCTTCTCCTCCTCCTCCTCCTCCTCCTCTCCTCCTCCTCCTCCTCCTCCTCCCTCCTCCTCCTCCTCCCTTTTCTCCTCCTCCTCCTCCTCCTCCTCCTCCTCCTCCTCCTCCTCCTCCTCCTCCCCCTCCTCCCGTCCTGTCCGTCGTCGCCACGGCTGCGACCGCCTCGGCTTCGCGTTGAGCCGACAACGGCGTTGGCTCCATACACCGCGGGGATCGTTCAGCCTTGAGCGATCGGCCGTTTCCGAAACATCAGGTCGTTCAACATCGGCCGACTCGAGGCTGCAGGCGGCGCTCCACGCTGCACGCCGGCGGCGAGGTCGCCGCTGGTCGACACGACGCGAACCTGCCGCGCTGGGTGCCGCCAGCCGTCCGTCGTCGCCACGGCTGGCATCGTCTCGGGATCCTGGCCGGAGCGCGCCCTGGGAGAGCACCGTGGAGAAGAGTGACCAGTATTGACTACCTACCAGACCACCCCAACCCAACCCGAAGACCCGAATTTCGGGTTGGGGGGGGTAAGGGTTCCACATGTCTTTCTTCGATGTTTCCCGACCCCCCCCCCACTGGAAATCGAGGGTAAATCTGAGCCTTCGGGTTGGGTTCGGGTGGTTTGGTGGGTGGTGAAGTATACAGGAGGCCCCATGCGAACCCTGCCCCACCACCCCACGATCTCTAAGGTGGGAGGCGGGGTCCACTGCGCTCGGGAGGTCCCGAACGAAGTGGACCTCAGCTCCATCCTCAGAAATCGTTGGGTGGTGGGGTAGGGCTCCCAGACATGCGACCTCCTGATTTTTTCAGTTCGGGGTCCCTGGAAGTCCCGACCCTTTTCCAGGGGAACGCTTCTTCATCCTCAGTCGTTTTGTTGACGGTCCCGAGGCCCGGCAAGGGCCCCCCGAGCCCGAAAGTGGTCAAAACCTGTCGTCGAGACTCTGGTTACGACGCGATCGGCGATCATGTCTGGGTTCGCATGCGGCCTCCTGTAATGCGGGATGACGATTAATAAAAGAAATTGGAGAGAACGATAAAACAAAGATTTCTGTTATTTCTGCACAATTTTATGACTGGAGGAGAACGATAAAAAAATAGTTTTCCACCCCGCGGCCGGTTTTTTCTAATCGTCATCCCGGGCGCCGCCGCGTGAACACGACCTCCGGTCATTCATTGAACGTCATCCTGCATTACGCCTTTTTGTTGCTGCCCCCCCACGAGCTCGGCAGACCCGGAGCCAGCAGAGCGCGGCCGCGCAGCGCGGAGGCGCGGCGCGGAGGCGCGCTGGGGCGCGCAGCGCACGTGGCAAAGCGCGCGCCGCGCCACGATGGAGGGGCCCCAGGACACACACAAATCAATACACACAAATAACATGATGCCCCCTATTTTCCTATGTTTTTATGGGTTTCTGTCTTCCCCCCCCCCCCACTTCCCATATTTTTTCCCATATTTTTCTGGGGCTCGACGATGAATTGTGTCTGTGTGTGTGTTTTCCCTTCCTGACACGAGGGCGGCGTGGGAAGAGGCAACTGCTGGGAGGTCTGCGCCCGAGGGGCTGGGGAGAAGCCAGCCCCAGTGGGGAGCTGCTACGCCGAACTGGGCCGCGGATGAAGCGGGACGGAGCCGGATGATGGGGGAACCCACAAAAAGTCACACAAACATCAGAAGCTCGGAGGTCCGCGCGGACTTCTCGGATCGGCGCTGGACCCCCCTCCCTGGCGCGCAGAGCGCGCCAGGGGCGGCGCCGGAGGCGCCGCCGGGGGGGCCCCCGCGCCGATCCGAGAAATCTGCGCGGACCTCCGAGATTTTATGTGGATGTCAATTCTTGTTCCCCTAGACGAAGCGGGTAGAAGCCGGATGTCGGACCCGGGCAAAGAGAGTGTCGAAACAGTGTCGGACGAGTGTCTCCCAGGGCCCGACACGTGAAAACCATTGAGGTTCGGTCTCTGTTTGGGTGCTCGACATTCTTTCTGGCGGTCAAGGCTAAAGTAGGTTGGAACATCATAAGATTGGACCTCCCGGGAGGTGCGTCCGGCGGCGTGGCAGCGCTCGGGCGCCCGACAGAGGGCCCGAGGGCGCCGAGCCGCTCCTTGCAGGCAGCGGCGGGATCAGGAGAGGGGAGAGCCCAGGCACGCAGCTGCCCCGATACGCAACACGCAGCACGTAGAGTATTGCTGCGGAGCTCAACGCGTAGGCTGAACACGCGGGTCCGACGCGATGCCCTCGCCAAAACGTGGGCCCATACGCGGAGCCAACACGCAACGCATTGACACGGATGTTCTGAACACGGCACGTGCTGCGTATCAAAACGGGCGCAGCAGGGCAGCTAAGCCCAGGCAGGACCGCGTCGTGACAAAGAGTCTCGGCGGCAAGTTTGGGGGCCATTGTCGGCCTCGGGGTGCCCTCGCCGGGCCTCGGGGCCGTCAAACGACGGCTCGGGGTGAAAAAAACCGGCCCTGGGGGAAGGGGTCGGGACTTCCAGGACCGCCGAACTGACAAACATCAGGACGTCGCATGTCTGGGAAGACGACGACCCCTGCACTCCCCCCCCCCCCCCGCGTCGCGACAAAAAGCACGACGGGATTCGGTCTGGCACGTTTCTGCCTCCAGGGGCCCTCGCAGGGGGGGGGCATCGGGGGCCGTCAATGTCGGGGGTCCCAGGACGGTGCGGCGACCTTGAAGTCCGCAAAGACCTCACCACACGGCCCGTCACCGAATGGCGTGGGACCCCCGAGGCCCCTGTCGCCCGAGACATCCATGATCCTCTGAGAACGACCCAAGTCCCCGAACCGTGCGGCCAACCAAAAATCCCCTCCGACTCACCACACGGTGTGCTCACCGCACCGTCTGGCGGCCCCTGAGAATGGAACCGGGAGCCGGCAGTAGAACGTCATCCAGGTTACCGGCGTGATCCTCGTACAACTCTTGATCGTGTTTCTGAAGCCAGCAATCACTCAGGATATCCATTTGAGCTTCCCAAGCCATTTTCAATAAATGCGCCACCGTGCCTCGGATCACGAAGTGGAGTTACCCCCAGGTTCTCATGTGTTCTCTGTTCTCTGTGGTCAGGACTCTGGGATTGTAGCATTATGATGGCTGGGGCTCCAACTTTTCAAATTTCCAATGGATTTACGCGCGTTCGTAAACTACCTCGCACAACTTTTCAAGAAGCCAGACGGCCCCAAGACGGGCCAAGAGGGCCCCAGAAAGCGCGCGAGAGGGTCCAAGAGGGCTCCAAGACAGCCCAAGAGCGCACCAAGACGCCCAGGATGGCCCCAAGAAGGCCCAAGAGGCCTCAAAGAAGCCACACAAGCGCTCCAAGAGGACCCCCGAGAGGACCCAAAGAGGCAACAATCATTGATGTTCCTTATGTTTGTCTATGTTTGTTCGCGTTCTCGCGTTTTCGGGCTTCCGAAGCTCCAAGACGGCCCAAGAGCCCCCCGAGAGGGTCCAAAGACGGCCCAAGAGGACCCCAACACGCCCAAGAGGCGCCCAAGATCGCCCAAGAGGGCCCCAAGACGGCCGCAAGACGTCCCCTAAGAGGGGGAACACGAACCGACAATTCGAGCCGTTCGCCCCAAGAGGCCCCCAGGAGACCCCAAGAAGCCCCCAAGAGAGCCCAAGAGACACCGCGAGAGACCCCCAAAGATGCTCAAAACGAGGCCCCCAAACGGCCCCAAAGAGCCCTCAAAATTGCCTCCAAGAGGCCCCCGAGAGGCTTCCCACGATATCCAAAAGAACATCGAAGAGGTCTCTAACCCACAACCCAGGGCCGGCACGGGAACGGAAAGAGCGCTTCAGCAACCTGCTCGAGATGGCTCGTGGTACCCTTCGCTCTTGGGAGCCTTGGTGGTAAGAGCGTGTTGCGTCACCGCTCGTTCTTGGGAACCTTGATGGCAAGCGCGTGTTACGTCACCGCTCTCTGTTGGTAGCCTTGCTGGGAAGAACTTGTTGCGTCACCGCTCTCTGTTCAGAGTCCTCGTGTCCAGAGATGCTTACGTGGCCGCTCGCTCGTGGGGGCCTTGCTGGCAAGCGCGTGCTACGTCACCGCTCTCGGTTGGGAGCCGTGCTCCTCCTCCTCCTCGTCCTGCTGCTCCTGCTCCTCCTCCTCCTCGTCTTTTAAATGTGTTATATGTGTCTCCTCCTGCTTTTCCTACTCTGCATCTTCCTCCTCCTACCTCATCTTGCTCCTGCTCCTCCTCCTCCTCCTCCTCCTCCTGACTCCTTCTCTTCCTCCTCCTCCTCCTCCTCCTCTCTCGTCCGTGTCCTCGTCCTCTGCTCCTCCTCCTCCTCCTCGTCGTCCTCCTCGTCGTCCTCCTCCTCGTCCCCCTCTTCCTCCTCATCCATCCTCCATCCTTCTCCTCCTCTCCCTCCTCCTCCTCTCCCACCTCCTCCTCCTCCTCCTCCTCCTCCTCCTCCTCCTCCTCCCCTGCGACTCCTCCTCCTCCCTCCTTCCTCCTCTCCTCCTCCTCCTCCTCCTCCTCCTCCTCCTCCCCTCCTCCTCCTCTCTCGTCCGTGTCCTCGTCCTCTGCTCCTCCTCCTCCTCCCCTCCCTCCTCCTCCTCCTCCTCCTCCTCCTATTCCTATTCCTCCTCCCTCTCCTCCTCATCCTCCTCCTCTTCCTCTTTCCCTCCTCCTCCTCCTCCTCCTCCTCTTCATCCTTCCACTCCTCCTCCTCCTCCTCCTCCTTCGCCTCCTCCTCCTCCGCCTCCTCCTCCTCCTCCTCCTCCTTCTTCTTCCTTTTCCTCCTTCTCCTCGTCCTCCCCCTCTTCCTGGGGCCCGCTTGGGAGCCGCTTGGGAGCCTCTTGGGGCTCTCTTGGGGTCGTCTGGGGGCTCTCTTGGGCCGTCTTGGGGCCCTCTTGGGCCGTCTGGCGGCCCTCTTGGATTGTTTTTGGCTCCTTTGGGGCCTCTTGGCCCGTCGTGGGGTGATCTTTGGGGCCTTTTGGGCCGTCTTGGGCCCGTCTGGGGGCCCTCTTGGACCGCTTTGGGCCCCGTTGGGGCGATTTTGGGGGCCTCTTGGGGTGTCTTGGCGGTCTTTGGGGCCTCTTGGACCGTCTGGGGCCCTTCTCGGAGTGATAAGCAGAAAACAACCAAAAAATGCAAAACACATTAGGGAAATCAGTGTTTTTTGCCTCCTGAGGCCCTCTCGGGGGACTTCTTGAGGGCCAGACTCTCTTGGACCGTCTGGAGGCCGTCTGAAGCTCTCTTGAGGCCGTCTTGGGGCCCTCTGAAGCCGTTTTGGGGCCCCCATGGGCCGTCTTGGAGCCCTTGGGCCGCGTCACTCGAACAACATACGAGGTACCGGGCCATGGGAGCCGCCCGGGAGCCGCTGTATTCGAAAAACAACTAAGGACAAAGGCAACTAGACTTTTGTTCCCCCGCTAGCCCCCTCCCCCAGACCACCTCCCTGTAAGGGCTTCGCCCCCTGCGAAACGTCTCTCGCTCGTACCGCGCTCTTTCCGTCATCCGCCGCCCCCGTCTGATTTATCACAGGGGTGCCTGGCGTGCTGAACTTCTTACGGTTGGGTTTTGGTTCTTGTTCGACTCTCCCCTGGGGCTTCGGCCCGTATTGCCGGCCACGCGAAAGGCTGCTCGCGAGGTGGTTCCTAAGGTTTGTCCTGGTCCCAATGGCTCCAAGATAGCTCATGATGCTCTCCAAGACGGCCAAGATGGTCCCCAGGTTCGCCCAAGATTGTCCAAGATGGCCTCCAAGACGGTCCAATCGAGTTCAAGATGCCTCGAAGCCCACCTGGGAAACCTCCAAAACGGCCCACGACGGCCCCAGAGGCCTTCAAGAGGCTTCCAAGACGGCCCAAGAGGCCCCCAAGACGGCCAACGAGGCCTCCCAGAGGTCCTCCAGGAAGGCCCGAAGAGGCCACCATCATTGATTGCTCTTAGGTGTTTGAAGGATGTTGGCATTTGCTTCCTGTCGGTCTTCCGACGGCCCGAGACGGCCCAAGAGCCCCCAAAGATCGCTCAAAGATCGCCCAAGAGGTCTCCAAGATGGCCCCAAAACGGCCCAAGAGGCCTCCACGACAGCCCCAAGGCGGCCCCCAAGAGGCCTCCAAAACGGCCCTGGAACACCCCAAGTCGGCCCAGAGAGGCCCCCCAGACGACTTACGACGGCGTCAGACGGGCCAGGAGGCCATCAAAACGGCCCAAGATGGTTTTAAGATTACCCAAGACGGCCCAAGAGGCCACCACAAAAGGCCTCCAAAACGGCCCAAGAGGCCCGAGGATACCAAAATCACTGTTTAGCCGTAGGTGTTGGACGGACTACGGTTATTTGCTTCTCGTCGGCCTTCCGACGGCCCAAGAGCCCCTAAAGATCGCCCAAGTTGCCTCCAAGGTGGCCCCAGAACGGCACAAGAGGCCCCCAAGATGACCCCACGATGCTTCCAAGACGGCCAAAGAGGCATCCACGACGCCCTGGATAGCCTCCCAAGACGGTCCTGGAGGCCTCCAACAAGGCCCTTAGTCGGCCCAGAGCGGGCCCCAAGGCGGCTTCCGACGGCGTCAGACGGGCCAGGAGGCCATCAAGACGCTCCAAGATGGTTCGAAGATGGCCCAGGACGGCCCGAAGAGGCCACCATCATTGATTGTCCTCAGGTTTTTGAACGATGTTGGCATGTGTTTCCTTTCGGTCTTCCGACGGCCAGAGACGGCCCAAGAGCCTTAAAATGTCGCCCCGATATTGCCTAAGAGGCTTCCAGAATGGCTTCAGAACGGCCGCAGAGGCCCCAATACGGCCATAAGACGGCCACAAGAGGCCTCCAAGCACCCTAGATGGCCTTCAAGACGGCCCTGGAGCACCCCACGAAGGCCTCAAGTCGGCCCAGAGAGGCCCTCAAGACGGCTTCCGACGGCGTCAGACGGGCCAGGTATGCACTAAGACGGCCAAGTAGGCCCCCGAGAAGCCCCCAAAGGCCCCTGAGATGCTCAAGGAGGCCCCCAATATGCCTTTGAGAAGCTGCCAGGAAGCTCCCAGGAGGCCACAAGAGTGCCCCCAAAGGCTCCCAAGATGCCCCCTCCTCCTCCTCCTCCTCCTCCTCCTCCTCCTCCTCCTCCTCCTCCTCCTCCTCCTCCTCCTCCTCCTGATCTTCCTCGTCATCCTCCCCCAAGTGTTCCCCGAAGGGTTTTCTACAACGGCTGGGGGAACACATGGCCCGATAGCTGGGCAGAGTTCTTGCCACAACGCTCGGCCACATAGGCAGTTCCAAAAGACAGGGATCGGCGGTGATTCGCCGTAGGCGTCTTCGATAATGAAAAGTCGCACGTTTCACTACCATTCAGAGGTCGGTCTGTAGACGTACATCGATAGACCTATCAGCCAGCCAGAGCCACGAGACCTTAGCGGCTGCAGCCGCTAGATACCAATGCTGGGGGAACGTCTTGGATCTCAAACACACAAACACACACACACACAGAGCCGCGCCTAAACGGCGCATCGGCAGGAAGACTGGCAACGCGAAACACATGTGCATTAGAAGAACTGGATTCGTGCAGACGCGCCCCCGCAGTGCCTCGGAAGCATACGCTGGAATTCTTTGCCCCAGCGAAGCGCGAGGGTATGCTACAGTACACAGGAGGAAGAGGAGGAAGAGGAGGACGAGGACGAAGGGGAAGAGGAGGGGGGGCAAAACAATCTTCAAAATCTAAAGGGATCTTGAGAACACCAGGCATAGGTTACCACACTGTCCCTTCTGGTCCTGTCGGCCAACTAGCTCCGCCATGCGTCTGGATTCCTCTATAGGGTCGGACAGGCATGTCCCTCTACAGGGGGGAAATTCAAAAATCATCAAAAAATAGTGTGGGGACTATGTTTGAGTATGTTTGGGCATCTTTTGAATATTGTTTGGGATTATTTAATTTGTCGTCCAAAATCCTCCTGTAGGGGGACAGGCCCAACCTACACCGAGGACAGAAACACATCCTTCAAGAGCGCGAGACCCTGCGCCGGCAAAGCTGACAAGCATCCGAGGGTACCCTCCCCCAGGATGCACGATAACATCCAACGAGCACGAAGAGCATCAGGGCGCCCTGCCCGAACCGACCTCGGTCTTACACCTCGGTCCGACCCTTAGTGGGCCATGGAAACGACAGGGCCGTTTTTTTAACGGTTCCGTTTTGCCGTTGTTTTGCCGGTTGCGACGCCGTTTTTTTACCAGTTCCATCGCCGCTTCTTGACCGGTTCTGGCTCCGGCTCCAATCCTGGAGCCGTTTTTGTTGCCGTTTCCGGTCGCCGTTTTTGTTACCGCTTCCATGTTCAAGGGACCTATTTTTTGGGAACGGTGAAAACAACGGCCCTGCCGTTTCCGGGGCCCACAAAGGTCCGACCGTAGCTCAGGTTCCCCGCGGAGCTCTACGAGGCACGGCCCGGCATGAGAAGCCAGCCCAACCCTGACCTTCCAGAGAGCCATCTTGTAGCACGGGAGGCCTAAAAACTAACAATCGACACGAAACAGCCCAAAAAACCAAGACGCAGAAGAGCTCTGGGATAGGCTTCTAAATTGGCGTGCTATTTTGTAGCGTTCTTGGAAGGTCAGGGAATGGAGGAGGCCGAGGAGGAGGGGAGGCGGGGCGGGGCGCCGACGGGCCGCACCCGTGCGGAGGAGGAGGAGGAGGCGGAGGAGGAGGAGGAGGAGGAGGAGGACGAGAGGAGGAGGAGGAGGAGGAGGAGGAGGAGGAGGAGGAGGAGGAGGAGGAGGAGGAGGAGGAGGAGGAGGAGGAAGAGGAGGGTGGCAAGGAGGGTGGCAAGGAGGGCGGAGAAGGAAGAGGCGGAGGAGGAGGAGGACGAGAGGGAGGAGGCGGAGGAGGAGGAGGAGGAGGAGGTGGAGGAGGAGGAGGAGGAGGAGGCGGTCGAGGCGTCCGGGGCTCCCGCTCTGGCTCTGCTATGTGGCAGAGCCACGGCGCCGGAGAGGCCCCCGGATGGACACGGCGGGGACGGCGGCGGCGGCGGCGGCGGAAGTCGGCGGCGGGAAGCTCACGGCGAGGGCATTGGATCTCGGCGGCAGGGAGCTCACGGCGAGCTCACGGCGAGCTCACGTCGGCGGCAGGGAGCTCACGGCGGGGGCCCAACTTCGCGCTGCGCGCTGCGCGAAGCGCGAACAGCTGCGCGCTCTCGCGCCGCCCCCCAAGGGGAGGAGAGGGGGACGAGGAGGAGCCGGAGCCGAACCGCGGAGCGCGAAGAGCTTCGCGCCCTCGAGGGCGCCCTTGTGGATGGGGAATCCATGGTCTGGAGGCCGGTGGAACGCCAATCGTGGATTGGCCATGGATAACACCGCCGACCTCATCAGAGGACAGATCCTCCAGGGTCTGAACCCTCCTGGGCACATTCCCAAACGAACGCGCTCGCTCTTGCGCTGTCAGTCCATGGGGAAACAACATGGTACCGATATCGCCACTCCCCAGCCCTCTCCCCGGGCGCGTTCTGCCAAGAGCATCGAGGAGAATCCCGCGGTGGCGATACAGGCCTCCTCCCAGGAGGCCAGCACGAGGCCCTGACCGCTTGCGCTTGCGCCGTTGGGTCCACTCGGGATTCTGACTGGCCTGGGTCAACGCAAACGCGGGTCGGCCGAGCTGCACAAAATCCTGCAGGATCCTGCAGCATCCTGCGCGCTGACCCGAGCCGAAGCAGCCCTGGCTTTGCAGGATCCTGCAAGATCCGGCGCTCTGGCTGACCCCCGATAGCATGGGCCCCTGTCTCGAGTAGACGAGCGCGTTCCACTACTCGCAAAGTAACTACGCGCAGATGGCCAGGATCCGCCGCGGGGGATCAACGATACATTGCAGCAAAGCAGACATGTGTTTTTGTCGGACGCTTGCGAGTATGCACCTCGCGAGCAGCGGAACGCGCTCGGTGATCGAGGCTCCCCGTCCACCCCACGGCCGCCTCGTCCGGGGCCGGGGCCGCGGGCGGCAGCAGGGAGAGCCCGCCGCCGCACGGCGCCGCGCGCCAGCGCAGGTAGCGGCACAGGGCGCCCTCCAGCGGCTCTCGGCCTCCTCCCGGGCCGCCGCTCCCGCCCGCCGCCTCCTCCTGGGAGGCGCCGCGCCCGGGGGGCCGGGGCGGCAGAGTCCCGCGCGCTGCTGGCAGCGCCCCTGGCCTATAGGGCGCCCACGGGCTTCCCGCGGAGGCACCCACGGCCTCCCAGAGCACCCCTCCTCTCCACCTCCTGCTCCTCCTCCTGCTCCTGCTCCTCCTCCTGCTCCGCCTCCGCCTCCTCCTCCTCCTGCTCCTCCTCCTCCTCCTCCTCCTCCTCCTCCTCCTCCTCCTCCTGGAGCGGGGCCCGAGCGGGGCTCCCAAGTGGAGCGGAAAGCTGGGGGCACCTCTTGCCAGGGGCACTCCCAGCAACTCCCGGCAGGAGGGGGCGGGCCTGCTCAGAAGGCCCAGCAGAAGGGCAGAGAAGCCACCCCCACGAGGAGCACCTCGACGAGCGGAGCCTGTCAGCAGACGCACCCGAGGAAGCGATCGAACAGGGCAGGGCTGTTCAGTAAATGCCCAGCGCTGCTTTGTAAACGCCACCTGTGCGGGGGTCTGGGTGGTGTCTCCTCCCCTGACAGCAAGCCTCCGGCCTTCAGAGAAGCCCTGCGGAACTTCCCGGCAGCCACGGAGGCCTTCGCGCCCCGGCGCCTTCCGAGAAGGCCTGCCCCCTGGACGGGCCTCAGCCCACGCCCACACCTCCGACGTCTCGACCTTTTCGAGACACGGGCCCCCGACCTCCCGACCACTTCCCCGGGACGGGCTCCTCATCCCGAGTCGTCTTTTGACGCTCCCGAGGCCCCGCGAGGGCCCCGAGAGGCCAAAAGCTACGGAACGCCTCCGCCTCGGCTTTCTCGAGACGCCCGATGCCTGGGAGCCCGAGCCCGAGCACCCGACCCGAGTGGGAGCGCCCGAGCCCGAGCCCGAGCCCGAATCGGGGCCCCGGGAGGAGCCCGAGCCCGAGCCCGCGCCCGCGCGGGTGCGCTCCCCCTCGGGGGTCGTCCGTCGAGGGTCCTCGGGGGCGGCGCCGGCGCACCTGCGCAGCAGCCTGGCGTCGAAGTGGTGCCGCAGGTGCGCCGCCGCGCCCTCGCGCCAGCGGAGCTCGCGCTCTCCCGCGCCCAGCTCCTGCAGGTAACCAGCCTGGAGCATATCCCTGTCCCTATGCTGGGCATCGCCCCTATCACGATGGCGATCTGTAGGGATTCCCTCGGTTTCGGAGGGCGCATCCCTAGGATTGCCATCGCCCTTTGGCGTGTCGATCTCAGGGATAGGGATACGTTCGAGGCTGGTGATGCATGGGGGCCAATCCTGGGCTGTTGCGTCGGCCCTCGGCGGCTCTGCGGCCTCTGGTGCCTTCCAGGAGCTGCGCCTTCGCCGAGAGCGCCTCGGGGGGTGCCCAGGGCGTCCCGAGTGGCCGCTGGAGACCCGCGTGATGACCCGGAGCCCAAAACTCTCGCCATCGCTCGGACGTCCCTTGCCCGTGCACTTGTCGGTTCAGTGCGCGCATTCTTTGCAATCTGATCCCATGTGCTCCTCGATGGTCATCGCCGTGAAAACATGGCACACGTACGAACGCTGTCAAGAACTCAGGGGGCCGCCAGGCCTCCCAGATGGGGTCCGAGAGGTCCACCCTCCTCCTCCTCCACCGTCCATCCCGCGCGTCGTCCTCGTCCTGCCGACGCCGCTCATCTTTTTGCGTGGCATCTGCGCTGGTCGAAACGATCGCCGCGTCGGAACGCTCGTGTTGAGAACTAACCAGAAAACAAAAACGTGCATGCGCGCACACAAGATGGCTTAACAAGCAGCGCGTACACGACAAAGACTAGCAGGGCAAAGAGAGGCGGAACCGTGGAGAAGCCCGCAAGGGCATAGAGGAACGCACAAAGTCAAGGTGTCCCACCACCCCCACCACCACCACCACACCTCAAGCGCCGTTCCTGCTCCTCCTCATCCTCCTCCACCTGCACTCCTGTCCCCCACCTCCCGAGGGCGCTCGCCTTTCAAGCGGGCACTCCCGGTGGCCACAAAGAGACGCGTGCAGGAACCTGCGAGCGGGACATGAGGGTGCGCTGCAGCACCGCAACGTCGTCGACGCATCCTGGGTATGCTGCTCTGGTCCTCCTCCTCCTCCGTCCTTTTCCCTATAAGCAACTCTCTAGATCTTTCAATCAGATTGTAAGACAAAGCCACGAAAAAAATGGATTCATTTTCATAGGACGGACGAAGCAATTTCCAGATTTCATCATTGTTGAGGTTAAAATGCGTTTCTTCAACACGGATCTGGAGTGTTTCTGTTTGGTCCGTTCTTCGTTGTTTCCTTTTTCCCTGTCGCACCCCCAGATGTGTGGGTAGGCCGGCCGAGCGCTTCGCCTAAGAATCCGTCAGCCTGAATATGACCCTGAAGCTGGAAATTCTGCAACAGATCCACGGATGGCGGGCGGGTGGTTTTGAGAGTATGGCTCTCGCCTTAGCGCCGAGCGCAGTCGTATCAAAAGCTTGCAACGGTTTCAAGGATGGAGGGCTTGTCCTTTCCACAACGTGGCCCTCTCTACAAAACCCCGCGCATGCGTTGCAAAAGCGTGCCACACTTTCGAAGACAGAGTGCGGTCTGTTTCAGACTGTGGCGGTTCTCGCCTTAACGAAGCACGCATTCGCCTTAACAGCTTGCAGCAGCTTTAATGATGAAATGCGGGTCCTCTCCAGCATGAAGCTATCGCCTTAGCGCCGTGCACACTCCAGGAAACAATTCGCGCCCGTTTGAATGATGGAGGGCGGTTCCTTTTCACACCGTGGCTCTCGCCTTGGCGACGCGCACATGTGCCCTGAAAGCTAGCAGCGGTTTCAACAATGGAGGGAGGCTCATTTTCAAAATGGTGCTCTCGCGCCGCGTACATTCGTACTGAAGTTTGCAACGGTTTCCAAGGCTCGTATGGTTAGACCCAAGACTGGTGTTCTTGCGCGGATTCGGAATGCCAGGACGCAACCGCAACGTTGATTCACAATGCTGACGCCCCAAGTATGGTCATCGGGCACGGTCTAGGAATGTCAGGACACAACAGTCACGTTGATTCGCAGGGGTGGGTCCCAAGCATTCTCGGACGGTTGTCGTCCAACGTGTCCACTTCCCGCAACGACAACCAGTCCGTGCACTGACGTAAAATGGGGAACGTCGAGGGAAGGTTTGCTGCAACATCGTTGATGCGTTTTGCATTTGCACGGGTCCTCCTCCCCTTCACCCGCACTTCCTCTCAGGGCTGAACATAAAAAAGGTGTTTTTCGTTTCCGTTCTGGTTCCTTTCTCCATCGTTTTGTCTTCAATCCACTTCTACCGCAAGGCGAAGTCGAACCGAAAACGGCCCACGAAATCGCTTAAAAACACACCGTTTGGGTCCAGCCCTCCCTTCCTTGCCCCCCTCTCCACCTCACTGGCTGGGAACGGTCGAACGGGGGCAGGCCCACGGAGACAGAAGTGAAGGGAAGCGAAGTCCTGTCAAGGTGGCCCGCAAGGGGCAGGACCTTACAGTGAAAACGTATAGTAAGGACGGGTGATAAGGACGCAAGACCCTTGGAGGCCGAAGTTGGGTTTTTTTGGGCGGCGGGCGACCAGTGATAATGGCAAGGACGGGCCTCAGAGGCAAGGACACAAGGGCACCCTAGATGAAGGCGCGCGTCCTCACTGGGCGCGTTGACTGTACGTGAAACCCTCAGGAGTCGAAAAGCGACTTCACCGGATATGGAAGATACTCTGCCGCTAGACTTGACCGATGATCTGCGTCCCCGGCAAGAACAGTTGCCGCTCGCCCGGCCCCCCGGCCTCACGGGGCAGAAAGACGCCGGCCTGGGACTGGGATCGGCGGCACTTCGCCGATGCGTCCCCGAGGGGGGGCCGCGCGCTCTCCGGGGGCAGGGGCGGGCGATCGGGCCCACGTCGGCCACGAAGGGGCGGTTGGGGGTCGATGCGTCCCCCGCCGGAGCAGGCGTCCCCGCCCCTGGGCCACACCGCATCAGCTCGCGCTGCTATCGATCGCCCTTTCCTCCCTCTCCTTGATTTTATGCTTCTTCTTCTTCTTCTTAATATTATTATTCTTCTTCTTTTTCTTCTTCTTTTTTCTGACTATTATTATTCCCCACATGTTTCGTGGGGTTCTGGTTTTCTTCCCTGCCGCGGCGCACCCGCGTCTCACCTCACACCTGCCGCGTCGCACCCGCGTCTCACCTCACACCTCCCCTCCTCCTCACAGCACTGCCACCGGAGGGGGTGCACATCGGGTGCGGTCCATGCGTTGCAGGCGCGCATGGCACGGCAGGCGCGGCACTTTCTCGACACCAGGAGGGTGCGCAGGGGGTGCGGTCTCTGTGCGTTGCAGGCGCGCAGGGCACGGCAGGCGTGGCACTTTCTCGACACCAGAGGGGGAGCACAGGGGGTGCGGTCTCTATGCGTCGCATGACACAACATGGCGTGGTGACGCCCCAAAAGTGGGGTGGGGGGCCAAAAAATCAAACGAATCGACACCTAATGTGTAATCACTTCTGACGGTTTCTTCGGGAGGGCATTTTCTAGATTTTGGGGCCTATATGGAAGGGCCGAAACCATGCCGTGGCATGGCACTGGAAAAAGTGACGCCAACGCTGCAGCGGGAGCTCGATTCGGAACAAGCGGAAGCGCGGAAATGAGGCCAGCGTTGCAGCGGGAACACGAATCGGAGGACGCGGAGCCTAACATGGCATGGCGTGGCGACGCTCCAGGGCTCCTGCGGCCCCAAAAATCAAAAGAATCGGCACCGAATGTGTAATCACTTCCGATGGCTTCTTCGGGAGGGCATTTTCTAGACTTGGGCAGGCGCGTAGGGCGCGGCAGGTGTGGGAATTCTCGACACCGGAGGGGGTGCAAATCGGGTGCGGTCCCTATGCGCTGCAGGCGCGCAGGGCGCGGCAGGCGTGGGAATTCTCGACACCAGAGGGGGTGCACATCGGGTGCGGTCTCTATGCGTTGCAGGCGCGCAGGGCACGGCAGGCGTGGCACTTTCTCGACACCACGAGGGTGCGTAGGGGGTGCGGTCTCTATGCGCTGCAGGCGCGCAGGGCGCGGCAGGCGTGGGAATTCTCGACACCAGAGGGGGTGAACAGGGGGTGCGGTCTCTATGCGCTGCAGGCGCGCAGGGCACGGCAGGCGCGGCATTTTCTCGACACCAGGCGGGTGCGCAGGGGGTGCGGTCTCTATGCGCTGCAGGCGCGCAGGGCGCGGCAGGCGTGGGAATTCTCGACACCAGAGGGGGTGCACATCGGGTGCGGTCTCTATCCGCTGCAGGCGCGCAGGGCACGGCAGGCGTGGCATTTTCTCGACACCAGAGGGGGTGCACAAGGGGTGCGGTCTCTATGCGTTGCAGGCGCGGGCACGGCAGGCGCGGCATTTTCTCGACACCAGGAGGGTGCGCAGGGGGTGCGGTCTCTATGCGTTGTCGGCAGGCGTGGGCACTTCTCGACACCAGGAGGGTGCGCAGGGGGTGCGGTCTCTATGCGCTGCAGGCGCGCAGGGCGCGGCAGGCGTGGCACTTCCTCGACACCAGAGGGGGTGCACAGGGGGTGCGGTCTCCATGCGCTGCAGGCGGCTGCCGTGCCCTGCGCGCCTGCAACGCATAGAGACCGCACCCGATTTGCACCCCCTCTGGTGTCGAGAATTCCCACGCCTGCCGCGCCCTGCGCGCCTGCAACGCATAGAGACCGCACCCCCTGCGCACCCTCCTGGTGTCGAGAAAATGCCGCGCCTGCCGTGCCCGCGCCTGCAACGCATAGAGACCGCACCCCCTGTGCACCCCCTCTGGTGTCGAGAAAATGCCACGCCTGCCGTGCCCTGCGCGCCTGCAACGCATAGAGGCCGCACCCGATGTGCACCCCCTCTGGTGTCGAGAATGCCCACGCCTGCCGCGCCCTGCGCGCCTGCACCGCATAGAGACCGCACCCCCTGCGCACCCTCCTGGTGTCGAGAAAATGCAGCGCCTGCCGTGCCCTTCGCGCCTGCAACGCATAGAGACCGCACCCCCTGTTCACCCCCTCTGGTGTCGAGAATTCCCACGCCTGCCGCGCCCTGCGCGCCTGCAGCGCAAAGAGACCGCACCCCCTGCGCACCCTCCTGGTGTCGAGAAAATGCCGCGCCTGCCGTGCCCTGCGCGCCTGCAACGCATAGAGGCCGCACCCCCTGCGCACCCCCTCTGGTGTCGAGAAAGTGCCACGTCTGTCGCGCCCTGCGCGCCTCCAACGCATAGAGACCGCACCCCCTGCGTACCCTCCTGGTGTCGAGAAAGTGCCGCGCCTGCCGTGCCCTGCGCGCCTGCAACGCATAGAGACCGCACCCCCTGCGCACCCCCTCTGGTGTCGAGAA